CTAGGAACGTAATACGGAGAAAGTCATGCTAATGTTACTCTACGATTCTCATGGGCGAGACCATATATTTTTGATATAAGTTATAATTTAACGTCAATTTAATACGGCGTTTACATTGGCCGAAAATGGCTCATTTTGAATGACTCATTTGAAAGTGTTTACATTCGTTGTATTTCATTCGTTCTCATGGTAACAATTCAAACTGAAATAAAACTACTAAACATTTGTTTATCTTTTTTTGTAAATATGTCAAAACAGCTTTTACAAACTGTCAAAATGCCATGAAGAGCTTTCATTTAGGGTATGTTCAATAGATTCCTTTGCATTTGGAACATATGTGGAATGCATTCGAACGTCATTCATACAGAATGTGAGAAAATTGCTCATTTTGTGCTTGAAATTTTATATGCAAGAATGAGCCATTCGATACTCATTTTCGATTTTTGACCAAAATGAGCCATTTTCGGCCAATGTAAACGCCGTATAATTTAATTTGACTTCAATTTAATGGAAGTGATTATTACATATAATATAAAAGTAGCATATTTGGTAGAGAGGTATCGAAGTAGCGTAATAAAGAACTTTAGTTAAAATACTTGGCATTACTCAAATGGATATTCAATTGGGCATATCCTAGAATAATTCTCAATTTACTTGTAAAATTAATAATTTGAACATTTGAACTGCACCTTGTATACTGAAGCAATCCTTTTGATGTTGTTTACATGCACTCGTGTTCAGGCAAACGACATGTTTCTTATAAATCCCATTCTTCTCAAATATGACAATTTAAAAGCAATTAAATGAAAACAATTGTACTAATTAATTATGTTAACAGTGCCGGCACTCAAAATATATAGGATTTCACTTCACTTCACTGACGCAAATATTTAATGAGGAAGCCGCAGCATTTCTAAGCGCATAAGTGGAAGGATATTTGCATTTATTAGCAAATATCACTGCTGCCACATGTTGCAGTGTGGGTGTGGAAATTAAATAATTTATGACGATAATTGCAAATTTAATTTGTTTTTTGCAGTGCAGACATTTTCATTTGCTCAGCCATTGAAGCAACATTTGAGTAGCTGGAAAAATCCGTGCAAATACTGTAGAGTTGAATAATTTTAGATAAATATTTGATTTATTATGATTATGATTAGCAACAAATTAAACATTTCATTAGGTTTACGAATTTCCTGTTAAATATCGTATTTGCTAATAAATAAATGCTCTTAACACACTTTAGCTTTTATTTACACGTCGCTTGCATAGTTGAAGGAGTTTGATCCATAGAGCTTTCGAGGAGCTATGCATTTGTGTGCGTTGCTGCACTATTTTAATTTTAATATTAATTTCGGAAAATCCTAATAGCGAACATTACGTGAAAACCGCAAGGATGTATGCAAATGTGATGGAAGGAATGTGAAAGGGAAAAGAAATTTGCACGTACTTAAGTGTGGTATATCCGAAATAAATTGTATATGCTGTGGTTTTGTTGAATTGTTGATGTTTTTCATTGCGGTTAGATTACATGAAGTGCAAGAATTCTCAGGAGCACTGAAGTACATTCAAATTACTTATAAGTTGCAAGTCATCGTTAGTCATTGTTCAGTTCTCTCAACTTGTTTGAAATTATATGGATGGTAACTTTTAAGGCGGATACAATATCTCTCCAAGAATCATTTGATGATTACATGAGATTAAGATTAAAATTTTAGTAATTTACATATTTTTGTTATAACAACTATTTTCAATTAGGTAGATGTTGAGGAAATAGGATGTAATCAAGAAGATTACTACCCTAAGAAGGAAGTAGCAGAATAAGTGGAATCTATAAAAAATAAAAACCCTAAATTACTGACAAATATTGAAAGATGAAAAATATATAATGAAATTAATGTGATCCCACTTCTAAAAAATCTTATAATGATGAATATATTAATAGTTCGCGTACTTAAGTTGACGAATAGTATCTTTAAAAATCAATCCTCATTTAATGATATTTCAAACATATCTTAACATGATATGTTCATTCTCAATTCAAAGGATTTTTTTCTTGAAACACTAAAATAAAGTTCAAATTAAGTCATAATTTTTTATATTTATTTACTAAATTGTTTTAGCATTCTTTTAATTAAAAACTTGCAGAGTAGTTCCTTTGAATAATTGTGGTGCGCAAATTGAATGTCATATATAGCCATTTATATCTATTTCTATTGATAAATAATTTCATTTAACAGTTGCGAAATTTAATTTATTGAATTCTTAGTTTATATGAGTGACACTTTTAACTGACATTCTGTGCTCACAAACTAATCTTAACAGGATGGACTAATCTTAACAGGATGGATGTTACAAAATAATTTTTAATTCTCTTGATTGAATGGGACTTTTTTAAGTATTCTGATAAGGTTTTTTCATCCCATTAAAAATATCATTGCAGCTTTGATTTTTTGCTTTAGAAAACAGTAACTAGAGCGGACCTAGATCATCTTGATCTCAGACCGAAATCAGAATTTTTCAGACTGAAGATAAATTGATTTGTACAAGTATTAGCTAAACGAAATCTTTTCAAAAAAGCTTATTGTCAAGAAGCATTAACAACTGTTACTAAGCAGTAATTCCCGATAATTTTAAAACAAATAACTGTTAAATTATGGGAGAGCTATTGGAAGCTCTATGTCGTATTCAAAAAGTTCCAGTACACTAAAATGGCTAGTGGTGTTTTGCTCCTAATGACAAGTCTCAAAATAAATATTTCATCAAAATCTCATTTATAAGTGTGTTTTATTTACGTTTTTTTAGGGACCAGAAAATGGACAACCCCATATAAAACATATAACATATAAAGTACATATCATTGGCTACAGCGATTGTCAGCTTGAAAAGTAATATATACGTATGAAGATGAAACTTTATCCATACATAATTTTTTTGTGGGTCTTGTTTGTCATATCTAAGCTATAATCGTTTTTTTAGAATATTAGTGGATTATGCTAAAGTGGAATTTTATCAACATTTTTCAACACTTTTTCTCCTTTCTGTTATTAAGAGCCAAATATTGGTTTCCCCCAAAAGCCATAATTTTGAGATAAAGCCCTATTTTGAGTAATTGCTTTATTTCTTCCAAATATTGCAATAATTTTCTATTATTTCATAAATTAAATTGCAATTCTTATCAGGTACAATAATTTTATTTATCGAAACAAAATGATAAGCTTTTAATTGTTGCTGTTCATTGACTTTATATAGTGGAAGGTTTTTGTGCGTCTATATTTATGTATGGCAATTTTCATTTAAATTATTTTAAATTTTTATAGCTTTCTGGATATTAAAAAAAAATTGATATTAAACATTTTAATGGTAAAAGAATAAAACACAGAACAAAAAACTGACCTACGTTTTTGTGATGGAAGGGTTAACAGCAAAAAAAAATATAGAAAGTAAGTGTGTTAATTATTTCAAATAGCACATATCTCAATTAAAATAATTTATATTGTGATTATAATATGTAGAAATAAAATGTGCCCATTAAATTATAAATATCAGCACTTAAATCTCATCAAATTTGTAATTTCCGTAATATAGGTTGAGCATTCCTCATATAATGGCATAACTCGTATAATTATTATAAATTTACTTTTTAATGGTCTTTTAGAATACTCATAGATCATGTTTTCTGAAAACTAATTGTAAGCCATTTATATGCTTTCAAAGACTGGTGGACCAAGTGTGTTGCAATACATCTCTAATATATTACAGATAAGTTTCAAATCACTTCTGTGTTATTAATAATTGATTGCCACTCGAGGGTCACTATTTATATTTCGTGCTTTGACAACACTGATTGTTCTCAGGTGTCTTCTGATGTTTCCATTAAAATGTTTTACATTATTGGAGATAACCTACCTTAGACCCTTTTTCAAAAGAGCGTTGGGAGTATTTGCGTTATTTAAAATGCTGGTACTCGTACAATGCTTTTAATGTGGGCTCAGTTCTTCAGTCAGTGAAGGCCGTCCAAAATCATTTGTTTGTGCCAGAAAACATTGATCCTGTGCAAAAATAATACAAGAACGTCATGCGCCATACTGTGAGATTGAGGACACCCCAGGCATTAGTTCCACCAGCATATCAGCATATATAAATTATTGCACGATCATTTAGCCGTAAGAAAGGATTGTTCTCGTTGGATCCCATTTCCCATCATTTAATGAAATCTCGAAAAGATGCTCGCGTCGATTGGTGCACACAAATGCTCAAAAAGTGCAAGTACAATGGCAGTTCTTCAAAAGACGTATACTCGTATAAGACTGTAACAGGTAATCAATCATGGATAAATGCCTATGAGAAATGTAAACAGCAGTCGACTATATGAGTATTTGAACTAAATCCTACCAAAATTATTCGCGCTCAAAGCACTTCCAAACAAATGAATGCTTGTTTTTTTCGGAAAATCATCACTGTTACTTGTGTATTAATCATAAAGGAGAATACTTTGAGACACAAAGAGGAATTTTGAACAATATTTTTTCAATATTTTTAATATTTTTTATTATTAGGCTCAAAATATAAATAATGACCCTCGTATAAAGACAGAATATAATCCACTTATAGCTAAAAAAGCGTCAGTCTTTTAATTTGAATTTTCATAAAGATGCGTTAATATGGATTACCTCATGCTAGTTCAACTGATTCAGTCTCATTAAGAGTGCAAACTTTATCTGCGTAATCTCAGCAGTACTCTGGGATCAGAAATTTGTTTAATTGTTTAGTTCATATTATGATTGAAATACAAAAATACGACATAGTCGTTAAATTTTGTCGGCTTATCAGAAGTGCCAATAAATTGTGTGCGGTATAAACTTCTTATAAACCTGTAAAAGGCTTTCAACGTTCTACGTATTGGGGTATAACAAAGAGAGCCAGAAAGCAAATTTATGCCTAGATGTGATAGTCAAAAAGCGACCAAACAAAGAATTTTTGGGTCAGAACTAAACGTTATTTCTTGGCGAAAACATCTCAATTTCGCCGTTGGCTATTAGATTTTAATACGGTTCAAGTTTTTGGTTAAAAATGTTATCATCCAAAATATTTCATGTGAAGCTAAACGTACGATATGTCAATATCGTAACAGGCTTATCTACTTCACAGGTGATATCAAATTTTATTTAAACACCAAACAATAATTATAGTCGATAAACAAACAATAAATCAACAAGAGTGGAATACAATAATGTTTATTATGGATAATAAATATATATAAAAATAAATTGATTTTAATATAAATGTATGTGGTATATACGCATAAGGCCTAGTAATTGATTGTTATATTTCAATATTATATTTATTTGTGCGTACTCTAAAAGCATTAGTCGAAACCAATAAATATTCGTTAAAGATTCTAATTCAGACATTCGTTAAAAGTGCAAAATTTTCATTTAATTAACTTTCAATCCTCGATGTGTAAAAAAATGATTGTCATTTTAAAAGTGATATACCACATATTACATTGGGAGAGTGACGGATGCTTTAATCCACATTTAAACTTATTGTTACTTATTGGCAGTTTTCCAGCCTCTGAATAATGATGAACAATGATGTTCTCTTGGTTGCACTCTATCTTCGAAAACAAGAATGAGCCGAGAGAAGCCACAAGAAACAGGTTCTTCAAAATCTGATACAATCAAACTACTTGAACGAAAAATTAATTATGGATATCAGGCTCTGAGAAGACTTTTCAAAGTACCATGGTACATTAGGACGAATGACATCCTCAGGGGCCTCATGATTGATCCCATCAAAAAAATACATAAAGGATAGAGCCCTGAAATTATTTG